CTCTAAATTATTTCTCGTCTGTAAAATCAGCAAAAACTAACTTAAACTTTCAGCACCTGTGTTGCACTGACAAAGATGGTAGTCCAACAAAATACTATGCAACAGTGACTTCAAGGTGCAGCATCACATCCAGGGCTAATGAATTAATACATATCATAATATAATTAGATGGAACGTATACAACGTAACCGTTTTTACTAATAAAAACTGTATTTATATTCTACTTGCACATAACTACTACCTTCAATATTACCTAACATGGTTTTGTAGTTAAATTTTGTCTGAAATGACTAAATTAATGTCACATTAGTTTCTAGACAGACCAGCTATATTGAACATCTTTTAAGAACTTAAAATATTCTCTTTGTGTTTACTGATTAGAGTTCTGAATAGTTTTATAAGCGACAACATCAGAATATTTAAAAAACAGCTCTTGAAATTACAAGAGTATTTGCTTTCTGAGTGTAGTATTAATGCTAGAGTTTATGCAGAAAGGACAAGTTTTGACAGCTACAGAGCCTCAACAAGGTTTATAACGGTGACAACTTCTTAGAAACTTCTACCTCTAGTAGTTCACAGATGTCAGTCGAGAGACGTTTAAAATTTCCATAATTACATGTCCTCCCATCCAAAGACAGGCTTCCTCAACACCAGAGAAAGTGAGGACATCAGCTGGACTCAGCTGCACGTGATGAGCCTTCTGGCTCAAACACAAGGGTGGAAGAGCTGGAACTTACTCCCACTGATCAGACCGGGAGACCTAACAGTTGTAGTTGTTCAGTTTGAAACAATGACTAGTAACACCGAGCAGCCAGCTGCTACGGTAAGTTCTTGTGCACCTCTGCAGAAAGCTTCACTTGCAAGCACAGTACCCTGCCTTCATCAGAAAGGAAAAAAGAAAAAATAAAGGTATTAAATTGCAACATGAATAAATCCATACAATGGGCTGAACTGAAATTATTATCCCCCGATGATAACAGGAACCACTAATCAAAAATGGAAAACATCCACTCTGGTGATCAGTATTTTTCCACATAGTTCTGTAGAGACACCCAAGAGGTTCACTCTTTGATGCTTTCTTTCTCCTATGCTATAGTGACATTTTCCATTATTTGATTATTCTAAATATGACTCTACTTAGAACATAAACAAAGAATGGCACTTCTCTCCCCAGGGTTGGGCCTAATGATAAAACAGGCACCCTTCATTATAAGCCTGGACTTCTACAGCTGCCAGGACTTCTACATCTGCCCCAGCCTGAATACAAGGACTCCGAGTCAACAAAGCTTTTAGATTGTTGCTTAATTCCAGACACGCTGGTTACTCCTCACTGATTTCAAATAAATTTACTCCTGTGCTTGAAAATAAATGTGCCTGTGCAATAACTCACAAGCAGCAGCTATCATTTAACATCCAGGCTTCTGTATCACACATTCTTTTAACAATAGCACCAAACAGGGGAATTGGATCCTGTCAAAACTCTAATTGTGTAGCGCACTGCATCTGCATTCTTTTCTGTAACCTAGATTGCCTCAGACAACTACCAATCATTCTTCAAAGGTGCAGGAAATGTGAATATGGAATAGCCTCAGCCATTTCCATAACACTCTTCACAATGAAAACTTATCACTAACCCAGCTTTCTGTCTTATTTCATGACTCTGCACTCCCTTGCGCCACGGGGGGCACAGGGGGAACAAGCCAAAGCAGAGGGAGCCTTTCAAAGTAAAGACAAATGCTGCAAGGAACAGAAGGGGATATTAGTGAGAAAAATTGTTAGAGTTGCCAGGGTATCCTATTTTTTCTTTTTTTCTTTTTTTTTTTTTGTGCTATTGTTTGTTTGCCTGCTCCTTTTTCTTGCAGCAGAGAAACTGCTAATATTCAGTGTGACAAGAAATTATGGTTGACTTGTGTAGCTCTCCTTAATAATGTGATTTAGCATTTCCCTGCTGTAAAAGCAGTCAGGTTGCACATATTGGGATTTCAGTAAATATTTACATCAATTTACCCTTTTAAGGTGCTCCCAGGTCAGCAGTTACTTTTTCTTGAGTACTTTAGTAAATGTCAGTCCCTGCTGCACTCTGCCTGTACTAGCAGCATTGTAATGATGGGTTTAGCATCCAGATACTGTCCCCCCAGCAAGATGATTAAAAACATCCTACTCATCTCATCTAGGTTCCTACATACTAGATTACAACGCCGCACAAACACGGGAAAGGGTCTGAATCAGCAGTCTGTGACTCCAGCAACTTCCTCCATCACCGAGCCCACAACTCCAGTGCCCCAAGTGAAGCTCATCACAAAATGACCAAGCTCCACATTAAACACAAGCAAGTTCGTGGCTCCACCACTTCTCGCTGCAACCCTGTGGCACAGCTTCCTTCTGTTTGCCCAGTTGTCTGCTTTATTCTCAGCCAGTTTATAACAATTCAGTCTTAACCCATCATGAGACATCGGTGTCCACCTTTTTAGTTTTCACTTGTAACTCTGCTTTCATGCATCACAGAATAGGACTGACATTTTGGGAGGGGGTGAAGCAGGAAAAAACTGGAGTGACAGATGCTCTATAAAGAAATAAAACATTGCTGTTACCTTTTTCATTTTCTTTCAGCAGGATTCAGGTGGATTATCTCCACCAACAAAAAAATGAGTGTTTTAACCCTTGTTTTATTAAATTATGTCTTCCCTTCCACTTACAATATGTATTAACGTTATCAAAGATTTATGAATTTGATCAGTTAAACAGAATGTTTTTAAGTCTTTAAAAATAAGTAAATAAAAAGAGACAAAAAAGCAGCCTCTGATTACAGACTGACTTGATTTATACATTTTCTTTAGGTATCCCTGAGATGTCAAGCAATACGGTACTGGAATACACCTTTGTTTTACATGTTGGAAATATACACTAATACTGCATTGGTTTTAGTAATAGCAACATACTCTTCTCTCTAATATTCAGAGTTTCCAGACACATTGATACAGACTATACACAAATAAGAAAAAAAATAACATGACAAAATATCCTTAAGCATTTCTCTAAATGCATCAGAAAATAGTATTTTATTCATAAGCATAAATTCTATCCATACAGATAATGCCTAATGCTATTAAAGTTTTCAAAGGAAAGGTGAATACATAATATCATGGTGCCTATTAATAAGAATATCCCAGAAACACACTTTCAAATGCTCGATTTATACATCTCCCTAAAATTAAAAAAAAAAAGTTTACCTTATTGTTCCTTAACATTTTTAGTCAACTAAATCTCCCCACAGCATTGCATTGCAGTAACATGATGTCAAGTTACAAATGTTATGAAATGCAATGCTTACAGCATGTATTAGTGGGCATCCATTATATTGTTTTGCTATACCTCAAAAAGCACAGAATTTAACCAAGAAACTAGGCAATACAGAGCTGATCTAACACAACATAGGAGCTGAATCAGGTTCTTTCAAACTTACTTTTAAAGTATGCAAATGTAGATAGCTTCACTTTAACATGCCAGCAAAGAAAACATTTCCAAGGAGACACAGGAAATATGAAATAGAACAACTGTTATCCTCATATTACCCAAAATTAAACTTCTTCAAAGAAATAACACAGCAATACATACACTGCTGCACATAGACAGGAGTGGCATTTGGGGAGAATAACATAGGTATGGTACACTTTATGTAACTTACATAATCAAAACCAAACCACCGACTACGCTACAAAAACCTTTGATTAAATGTAATAAAACATATCTGTATAACAACATGTTTTTGTCTAAGACTACATTTGATTTTGTACATTACAGTTAGGATGAACAGATTTGCCAAATTTGTTCCTATGTGCAAGGAGTAACAGTATTAATGACAGAAAGCTGACTAGTTCCACATTATGTTTCTTTAGGAGATGTATTTCCTTGCCCCAGTCCGTGCTAGCTGACAAGGAGGGGGAAAGTAGGAAAACACACATTCTACAATTCATGTGAGGCCCATTTTTGTTACAACTGCTCTCATGAAAACATTTCTATTTACGAACTACCTAGTTTTATATCAAATGACCTGCCATGCCTCTTGTGACACTTTACTTTCCTTCACTAGGAACATCTAAGTACAGTGAAAGAAAACCGTATGACCGTTACCACCTAAATATCTTTTCTAGACAAGATATTCTCAATGGACAAATTTGTTCTTGCTGGTTTCCTCCCAGAAAAAAAATAATAATCTGGCTTCACACGTTCAGAGATGTTCTCCTTATAATTTGTCCTGCTGATGACACAGGTCCCACTGCTCCGAGGGAGCGACGAGGGGGCTCCTACAAGTCCGGGAGTGCCTGGGTATTGCAGTGCCATATGCCTGCCGGTGCCCTACTCACCCACATTACACCATCACACTTTTATACATTTTTCATAACATAGTGTTGATTCATCCAGAAAAATCAGTTCAGCACACAATCGGCGAGCACAAAAACCAGCGGAAATAAGTCAGGGAGAAGGCAGGCTTTACACAAAAAAATGCTCATTTGCGAGCAGCGCTACGTCTCTCGCCAACCCGTTAGACTCGTGTCTCCCTTTTCCCCTTCCCGAATCCACCTGCCAGCCGGACCCGCACCCGGGCGATGCCGGCCCGGCCTCCCGCACGGCCCGGGGCGGGAGAGGGGACCGCGCCGCAGCCAGGGGCGACCCTGGGGCCGCGGGCAGAGCCCGGCCCGAGCGGCCCCCTGGCC